AGGGGGTCAGCCAAACAGCGGTCCACTTTGTACGTTTGCTGAGCAGACCAATCAGGCATTTTTTTTTCTAAAAAGGAAGGGAACTTCTCACCGAAGGAGGCAGTAGGAATGAAGGAGGCGGGAAGCTACCGCTTCTAGAATGGTTGCTTATCCTTCACTTTTTTTAGAGCGTCTCGCTATTCAAAAAAAAAGGTTTATGTAATCGGAAAAATGGTTACGGTTGCGGAAACCAGAGAAAGTCGGGAACCATCGGTTACCTTTTGAATCAAAGTAGCGACGAGCCTAGTATTACGACTACAGGGGGAGAAGCAAAGCTTCGTAGACAGCTTCGCTTCCTCGTCGCTTCTTTCTAGCGACCAGCTTCTCAAGTGGGTGGCTTGGTAAGCAAGCTACCTTCAGCATCGGTAAAATCCCTATCAATAAGAGGCCGGAATGGTGGGGAAGGAAGCCCTCCCTACTTCAATGAAAGGGGGGAAGAGCCCTTTCACAGCCGCTCCTCTACAACTACCTTTCGCCCAACATGATCACGAACGAAGACAGAGAATTGCGTAGATAGGAGGACGAAACGAACCAACCCACTTGTCCTGATCGGAACGATTGAAGAAAGAAAGAGAATGGTGTCCCCTTTCGCCCAGGGGACATCGTCGGAGAACAATGCCGGGGACAGGGTGAGAACCTTCCGTTGCTTACACCCTTTAAGTGTTGGTTCTTCCGGGGAGAGATCTGGTTTCAAGATCTATGAACAAGAGAGATCCCTAAATCTCCATTTGAAAAAAGAGATGAATAGATAAGGCGAAGCCAGCTGAAGGAAGGGCGCTAACGAGCAAGAAAACGGATGCGCTAACGCGCAACGGCTTTCCTTTCTCTGATAGAGGCTCGCTTCTTCAATTCAAGTTCAGCTTGCTGCTTTTCATTTTGATAGGAGTAGGTGCTTGCTGCTCGCTCGCTGTCTACTAAATGAGCCTTTACTGCCCGCCCGGCCCCTCTCTTTAATCTTAAGTAAAGTTCAGTCAAATCAATGAAGTGAACAGCCCAACCTCTTTGTTTGTTTCACCTAATTCGGAAAGAGAACAATAGACTTGCAACTATAGTCTAGGAAAAAGCTTCTCTTTGATAGCGGTCATAGGGGAGTTCAGAAAGGATCTGATCGTAGATAGAGACTGAAACCTGTGCGGGGGTAGGGGCGGATGTAGCCAAGTGGATCAAGGCAGTGGATTGTGAATCCACCACGCGCGGGTTCAATCCCCGTCGTTCGCCCATCAATAAATGGACCATTTGTTACGGAGACAGAAGACAAACCTAGAAAGCTTTTTTTCTGCAAGTCATCTCGAGGCTTCAAACGCATCCAAGCAATTGGTATCCGATTGAAGCATAGAAATAGATTCGCGTCGCCTACTTGCTGAAAGCACAAATGGAATGGCCGATCATGAATTCTATGAAGTTTTTAAGACCTTCACTTTTGACTTCATAATGAATTAAATGAACCCCCGGATGAGGAGCAAATCTCCCCTCCCTTTTACTAAACCATGGGGAGCCCCTAGTAGTTTACCGGACAAATTGAGTTGTCGTGACGAGACCTTTCTTAGTGGAAGATCGGAATTCTCTTCATCACGAGACTGATCGGATCAGACACCCGAGAGACCTCCACAATTGAGTAAGTAAGAGGACAACAAGCAAAGAGTTATGCTTTCATTTCTTTGTTGAGATTGAAATCAAGTTCTTTAAAAAGGGGGTAGGTATAATGAACGCAGGCCAAGTCAAGAAAAGGACTTCCTTACTTTTAGTCTTAATTACTAGTAGTTTGAAGCGAAACCGGTTTTTTTTGGCACTCGGTTCCTTCGTCTTAAGTAAAGTTCAGTTGACTTTTTTGATTCGGAACTCTTAGTCGAGCTGATGGCGAGATCTTTTTTTTGTTCGAGGTTCAAGAGGAAGAAGAGAAGAGGAACCCCCGCCCAATGGTGCTTTTACGAAAGTACGGTCACCGGTGGCTAATACCTTCTCGACACTATCGAACCTGAAATCCACTCTCAATCGCTCTTTTTAGTTGGCGGGCAAGGGTTGCCCAATTTCTTAGCCGATACCGGGACGTCTTTGCTTGGTCATATAACGATATGCCAGGCTTAGATCCAGTCCTAGTAGAGCATAACTTTAATAGAGGTCTAAAAAGAAAGTCTCCAAGCTCCATCCCGACTTGGAGTTTTCAAAGAAAAAAGGAAAAAGCGGCCCGCTGAATTAGGACCTTGGATTATTCTGATTGGATCTCTAACCGTCCCCGTACCGAAAAAGGATGGGAAGGACTTTTCTTTTAGAAAGCTAAACTAAATCAGGCCTGTCCCAAGGACGATTTCCCACTCCCAAATTGAGATGTCGGGGTAAAAAACGCTGTCATTTATGGACGGTTTATCAGGATACAACCAAAGACGGTTGGCCGAGAAAGACCAAAAGAAGACTTCCTTCATCACGGGGCGGGAAACCTTCTGTGCAAAGGTCATGCCATTCGGCTCGGCCTAAAGAATGCCGGAGCAACCTACCAGAGGGCTATGACGGCCATCTTCCATGAGATGATGCATAGACTATGTGGATGACATAGTAGTCAAATCCAAGACAAGGGTCAATCACATAGAAGTCCCCCCGATTAGTCTTCGAGAGGCTTAAAAAAGAAAAGAACACGGAGCGGTCAAATCAAACTCATGGGTTGGTTAAGCTGAGTAGGCGGTTGACTAGGCCTTTGCCTTGGCATATAGCCATGTTGGCCTTGATTTGGTGGAGACGGGCGAACCCGCTGAGACTGTGGTAAGGTTGCCTGAGGTGGTGGAGCAAAAGAGACCTGCATACCCTGAGTTGATTGGGGAAGAGCTGGTTGTTGCAACATTGGTACGTAGGATTCCGAGAAGAAAGAGGCGAGCGCATCGAAGTTAGAGAAAGGGCTCTCACAGACCCCTAATCTCATCCAATAAAAAGATATGGGATATGGCAGTCTATTGTCCTTCCAAGCTAAAATAACGAGTTCTTATTGCAGCAGGATTGTAGCGGTTGGCTTTCATGCAGGTAGCCGTAGCTTGAAGACGAGGGGCGGTGTGGTGTAAGGGTTATGGCGAGTCAAGCAATGATCGGAGAGGGAAGCTTATAGGCTAGCTAGGTTTTCTTTTTCACTGGCTTATGGTCTAAGGGTACCCTTTCCGCCTAACCATTGTTTAGAAAGTAAAAACAAGAATTCTTAAATTGTTTAGACTCAACTTTGTTCTTCGACTTCACTTTGTCTTCGTTTAGTCCAGTTCAAAGTTTAGTGCAGCCATAGGACAATGGCATTTTCTTAGCTAAAGGTAGATCAGAAAATGAAAACTTTTACAAAAGCCCGTATTTCGCGACTGTAACAAATGCTTATCCGGTGCAAATCATTTATCCTACGCACGACGTCAACAAAACGAGGCATGAGAACCAAAGCGCAGGCAGGGAGAGCCGGGCCAACTACTAATTATTAACCGTCCTTTCAGTTGGGACTTTCAAGCAAGCCTTGCGAAGGCAGCCTTCTCGCGCATCAAAGACTTCATTTCCCGCAAGTGACCAACCGAAGCCATGCAATTTCTTATATTATAAAAGGAGTGCTAGAATGTCTTTTCAATTGTAGGGGCGCGTTAGCGCTAATATAAAGCAAAGGGCTTTTTCAGCTGGATCCAGAACGAATAGGAGATATATCAGTACGCCATCCACGGGACACCTTTCGTAGTGAGGGAAGTCCTCTGTTTTTAGGTTGACGAGCTACTTTAGTTTAGTTTCCGAAAAAAGCATAAAGCCCGGTATTTTCGTAAACGTAAAAGAGGGACGAGTGACAAGGGACTTGAGTGACTCACCCTAATCAAGCGGGAGCAGGTATCGAGTGTTGTGAGGGCTTTTATTTGCGCGTTAAGGGCAGTTTCTGTTATAGCACTAGGAATCGGTGCCGTTAGTCTAAGCTAAAACAGAGGGGCTTTGGAATCCATTCCGTATTCCGTACGCTAGGAAGTCGATCTGAACTGTAATTATAGCCTTCGCTTGAACCGAAGAGAGCGATGCGAACAGTTCAGGAGGCCGCAGATCAAACCCTTAGTTCAGTGCCGGGTTTCATAAGTACTCTCGGTCAATCATATCATTCTCCAGACGGGATGGGGTGTAGGCACGTTTATTGGAGCAGTTGGGAAGAACACCGGCCTCTTTCTTTTTTCAATCGTTAGAAAAAGGAGCTTGGTCAGCCATGTTCCCTACGTACCCTATCGTTATTCCCATGATTCCCCGTTGCACCTATTCTCCGCAACCGTCGGTTCAGATCTATCTCGGGTATGGTCACTGCACTCCAATCGTTGTATCTCCAATCTCTGCCTCGGTTGGTGGCACCTATGGTTCTGAAGGTTTTTGATTCCAAGAAAGATAAAGAAAAGAAGAGGATTTATCCTCTAGTTGCGAAGGATACTGCTTACTACAGATTCGAGTGAAATGGCTGGTGGTAAGCGTGGTAAGGTCGCTGCTAACGAATGGTGGGTGCGTGGAGAATGCTATGGATTCGAGCTCCATTTCCCTCTCGGTACTTAGATCTTCCTCTAAAACGTCTCCCATTCCTCTTTCCTTTGTTCCGCCGACTACATTGATTGGATACCGCTGGGCCTGCCTACGCATAAAGTCTAAGGATTCTCCCATAAAGCCATTGAATTGCCCTTGGTTGTCCTACCTTAGATCTTATTCCCACCTTGTTCTATTGCTCTTTCTCGATGGGGCGCTAGACCTCATTCTCTTTGAGACGCTTATTCAATTGATAGTGGCCCCTCCTTACGTTACTTTAATTCGATGGGGAGGATGGGAGTAAGGAGCGGGTACGGGAGCTTGACCAGGAACAAGATAACGAGAAGTGGATTTGCCTGGGGTGGGCTCACTTTTCTGCCTTTTCCTCCCACGATTTAAGGATTGGCTCAAGCAACCTATCTTACTAATAAGAAAGTGGCTGCTAGTTGTAGCGCCCCTTTATAAAAATGATATTCTTCTGCGAGACTCCATCCAACCAAATCCCATTTTTGAAGGATGTATTCTCGGAAAACATCATCGCGAAAGCTTTCCGGTTGGAGGTGAGCTAAAATGGAATGACGGGGATTGAATGGCCTGGAAAGCTGGTAGGGTTTGGGGCGAGCTGTGGGCTACATTAGATATGGGTTGAAATGGCGAGAGCTGAGATGACGGGAAGAAGCAGACCCATCGAGAATCGAGGAATGACCATGTACTCCTTCCCTTACGGGGCTCATGGAGTAGCGTATTTCGAAAGAGGAAGACGGGGGTGAGAAGCCATAGCAAGATTATATGCATTTCGGGCCTCAGTTTCTGCATCATGATCCACCTAATATGGGTATTGTGACTGGCATATGGATTTTTAGAATTGTTGGAAGGGGACTGATGTTGATTTATGAAGGCGAATATTGGATAACTGAAGTTAGGAGGATTGTAGAGTGACAAAGGAGCTACTTGGGATTGGAGGAATGCCGAACGCATTGCAGACATGCCTTTGGATATGGTTTCCGCTGATTGGATTAGTCTGACCATCATCTTCTCTAACCTAGTCAAATAAAGACTGGCATTCATCTCCATAGCCCTTTTTCTTTAGCAGTACAGGCCGGCTGGTCGGGGTTGTTTCCCCCCCGCTACCACAAAGATCACTGCCCAGCCACCGCTCGAGGGTACCTCCGCTCCCCAACTGAGCAAAATGGATCAAATTCGCGGGAAAGGAGAGATAAAAAAAGGGAAGGTTCTGCTGAGACTCAAGTTCCCCTGCCGGAGCTCCCCGAACCTGAAGTAGAAGTCGAGGGGCTGCTCAGTGAGAAGAAGCGTCAAATGATTCGGACAGTTGTCGCGCTGGCGGAGCAGGGAGCCTACAGGGAAGATTGGGGCAATGAGGAGTTCGACGATTTAGCCCATCGACTACATCTATCGCTGAACCAACTTCCGAATCATCTACCGAATCGCATAATCAACCGGATCCACCTAAACCTAATAAATTTCCTCTAGACAGAATGAGGCTCTCGTTGAGAGATCCATTAGTGATTGGCCCACCCCTCCTGGCAAAGAAAGAAAGGCAGGTTCAGGCGATTGATCAAAAAAAGATTTCCTTCCCTTTCTTTATGACAGAGCAATTGAATGCAATTGAATGCAGCGGTGCAGGGCCTCTAAGATTATGAATAAGCTATTCATTTTCCGTCCTATTGAATAAATTCGGCATGATGGTAGTAGAGTAGTCGATCTGATCTCGCGCGCGGGCGGATAGAAATGCCTATAGATGAGGTAGGCGAGGCTAGCTTGCCGGCAAAAGGCGATTGTCTTTTGTTTGATGAGAACGAGAAGGGCAATTGACTGCAGGCCTCTTGGGTGGGGGCAACTGGAGGAAGACAGCACGGGGCAAAGCAAAGGGCAGAGCTTCGAGTGACTTTTTTCTTTGCTCTTCGACAGCCCGTCACTCGAAGCTCCTCTGTCGCGCCCTAGCCGAGCGGTCATCGCCTGCACAAGCAAGCAGATTAGCTCCATCATTCCATTATTGTGCCGGCAGGCCTGGGCGAGCGAGGTAGGCTTAGATTAGAGGGAGGGGGACTGCGAACGTCCCATGAAGGGGGAACCATGCATTCCTCTCGGGCTGGGCTCTCGCGTGTCCGGGGTCCGATCAGATCAACCAGCGACCGGTTTACGGAACAAGGAGTTAAGCAAGGGCCAGGAGATTGATGAAAGAAACTGGCCGAAGTCAGTGTTGTGTTCAACTCCGCGGTTGGAAGGATTGCTTTCTGCCGTCTGTCTTTTCCTTCTCTCTCTTCTCTTAGCAAAGTAGGCTCAAGTCAAACTTTTGGCTTGCTACAAGCTGGGCTCAGGGACTGCAGTCAGCCGCTTCCCCTGTAGTCGTCAGCTCGTTTTTGACAGATCCGATCGGGTGTTCATAATCTGGAGTAAAAGGATTCGAACCTTTGCATGCCGGTACCAAAAACCGATGCCTTACCACTTGGCTATACTCCATACGGCCTGTTTTGGACGGTAGAACGGGGAGAGGGGGAAGGGGGAAGCAGGGCTCGAAGAACGAGCCGAGCCGTGCAAGGACGCGGGGATATAGCAAGTAAGCAGAAAGGTTCTTTAGGACCGACTACAACAAGCTCACGACTCTAATAGAAAGAAAGGGTAAGCTCTCTGCTCTATTTGCTTGCAATGCTATGCCTATCAAAGTAGGCGAACGCTTCTGTAACCTTAGACTCGTTACGCTGTTCGACTGAACTCGTTGGCTCCACGTCCACCGAAAGTAGGTAACCTTCGTCACCGTTGGTTCCCGTAACCAAACCTTTCTTATCTTTTTTTTATTATGTCTTTCTTTCTGAAGGGCTTGCGGTTCATTACACCAAAGGCTTTCAGTGAACTATTGAAGCTATCGAGAGAGTACCAAATGCTGACGGTAACGAAGGGGCCGATGCGGCCGGTTACCGGGAAAAGGTTCCCGGGAAACTACGTTCCCTTTGTAAAGTAGGCCTTTTTATAACTAATTAGAGTTGACATGAAATGGATCACGGAAGAAGACATAAAAGATGAATGAATGATTCAATCCCTTCCCACTCACACGGGTTCTTCTATTGAAGACCCGGGCGTACATAAGAGCGGAACCTAGATAGAACGCGGAGCACCGGCCCCGGCCGCCGATACTGTTACCATGCTTACCAGCTCTTACCATTGCCGCCTATAGATATAGATGGGAGGTAGGCGGGGCTAGCTTGCTTCTCTTCCCCTAACCTGCACATCTTATGTGCGAATAAAAGGAAGCGAGCGGCTCTTCGCTTAGTAGACGGCCGCCGGACGACGACCCCTTCTTGTTCTCGCCCAGCCGCTTTTTTTTTGTTTTTTTTTCTTTTTTGAGAATCCTAGACTAAAGAAGAAGGCTCCTGAATCAGCGCAGGGAAAAATCCGCAAGCAGGAGAACTTTACTAACCTGCCGCCGGTTACTTTATCAGGGCTCCGCAGGAGAAGAAAGAAGGTCCGGGTCCAATTTCTAATGAAGCGAAGGTCCCCCTTACTCCCTATTCTCTCTTCAAGCTTTATAAAGCTCTAAGAGAAAGGGTTGGTTAAGAACTATTGACTGTAAACGATAGCAGTTACAGTCACTCAATGGATATGCTCGCCTTTGGAATGAAGATGGATGAACAGGCACTTGAGCCTGGAACTGATGAAATTCGGGGAAAACATGGAACCGGTCACTATACCGGGGGGGCGAGACATGACCGCGACTTAAGATTCAAGTACCGTTGAAAAGACTAAAGGAACGGGGGAATGACTACCTGTAATAAAGCACAGGCTAATACGAGCCGACCAGAAGAAGCAAGGCTTTAGATTACCAGATCCTGGACACAATCTTCCTAGAGATGGAGAGCCCCTGCCTTTTCTAGCCTCTCCTTCTTGCTTGCTTACCTAGCTCTTGTCTTAGTGACTCTTCCTCTTTTCTAGGTTTTTCTGAGTGTGAAAACGGTAGATTTTTCATTTGCCAATGAATTGGATCCGCCTCGATTCGATCAATAATGGGATTCTTGGCTAGAGAAAGGTTCTGTGACATGGACGCCCAGCCCAACTCGGTCGGTCGGTTGGCCCACCTAAGATATTAAAAAATTATCGATCGATTTGATCAAATTTGAAAAAGTCTTTCTCACTATTCAGAACAGTGGAGCTTTCGATCAAGATGTTCTCGCCTCCCCCGTTTGGGCTCTCGCTCGAATCGGAACCTTTATGCGTTGGTAGGCTTTCGACTCAATCTAATAGCCTACCTATCGGGCGCCAATAAAAGAGAAAGTTTGCGCATGGGCTCATTATCTGATGCAGAACCGATGCGAGAGGGAGAATCAATATGGGAGAAGCGGGGATTGAGAGCTTTCAAGAACCAGTGGAAAGGAAAGACTTGTTCCCTGCATTCCTTTCTTTCCAAAGAGAGTCATTAGTGCTAGGGCATAAAAGCTTTGATTGAATGAACGCCACCTTGGTTGTATTGTTTTCAAACAAATCCAATGTTGGGCCAAGCGTTGCCAGCCGGTAATAGCCGAAGGCAAAAAAAAAAGGGGGAGATAGAGAAGAGGAGATTCAGAAGAGTCACTCCACTCCATGGATAGTGCACACAGATTCTTCTTTCATTTGCAATTCCTTTCGGGTCGGAAACGTGGGCTGCTGGTGGGGCTGTGCCCCTTCTCCCTCTTCTTCCGCTTTACAACCGGAATAAGGAACCTTAGAATTCACCCCGATTCAAAAATGGGATTTGAGAGGCTAGCGAATCGGAATTGTATGGAATGTCCTACTCCTGCCCGAGCTTTCCGATCAACCAATCCCCTATTTCATTTCAGGGACATCTGTGTTAGGTAGGCCCAGGGATCACTGATTAGTCGAATGAGCCCATCCCTCTGGCCTATCATTTGTTGGTCGATCCGGCTGGCGGCTCCTGCGTCTGGGGCCCCTTTATACTAGTTTGCTGCTAGGAGTCCCTCTAGTCGAATCCATAATCCATAGAAGTCCCAATAGAAGTTTACTGACATGGCTCTTCCATCGGCGATCTACTGCTCCCTCTTAGTTGCAGATGCCCATGCTTTGATTCGAAAGCCCTAGCCAGTGATGAATCCCCAGGAAGAGAGGACTATTGAATTCCTCCTCCCTTCAGTCCAGTTTGAACCCGTCCCAGCAACGAACACCTTCCTACTGCAAGGCTTTGCTCTGCCCTTCCACTAGAATCCACTCCGGGTCGGAGGAGCAGCTAGTCCAACTTCTTGAGCAGCCGAGATATTGAAGAACGAACATTTGCTTGAATTCCTTGCCTCACCCTGAGATGAGAGGGAAGGTCGATTTGACTCGAATCCTGGACCTGATCTTTAATCCTACACCGGTTAATGATGCGATGGGAGAAGTTTTTCTTTTGTCATTTTTCATCAATGCTGGCCCAGTCGAGGTTCGTCCATGCCCAATCCCAATGGACAAACCTTAGCCCCTAGCTCTATAATCCACCCTACCCAGTCCCTGAAAGCCCTCCCGGGGGCCTAGCCCTCTTTCTTCGAGTCTTAAGCGGCTTTCATCGTTGACGAACACCTGCGCTAATAAGACAAAGAGGGAGTCTATGCCTTGAATGAATCAGTAAAGTAACAACGGATTAGTGGAATGAGGGATCAAGAGACAGATAGGGGGAGAATGGCAATCATTGGTGGACCTTCCCTTGAACGAGTCACGGAGCTCTCAACGGAGTGGTTTAGGTTCTGGAATTCCATCTCTAGTTGGGGCTTTCGGTTCGAAGGTTATAAAATGTGGTGCGGGTTCATCTCTCTCGACCAGTTCAGGTTCAAGGGAGGGTGATCGAGGGGACCCAGACTTGAGATCTCTTCTCTATGGCGGGAGGTCTCTTTCGTATCAAGAGTGTTTTGGGGAGGCCAGGGAAGACGGATTGGATCGAGAGGCGATGCTTATACCTCTTCTTTCTCGATAGGATTCCCATCATTTGAAGTCTCCGGCGAAGGAGATAAGGGCGAGGGACCGAACATGTTCTATCCTCAACCTCCATCCGTCATTAGTAATCTCAATTCGCTTTTCCTATTCACTAGTACAATGCGCGCTACAACTAGCAGCCCCTTACTAGTAAGGGAAAAGGCTAGCGCGCAAGGGCTGATGAAAAGCCAGCAACTTGTTAGGACTAGGTTTTGGCTTGCCCCTTTCTTCTTATTAGGAAGATAGGTTTGGAACCCTATACAAGGGGCTGCTTGCTGCTCACCCCTATCTCTAAAGGGGCGCACACTCGTTACCACTAAACGACGAAGCCGGGAGCGGAAGGAGGGACTTGAACCCTCAACCTCAGCCTTGGCAAGGCTATGCTCTACCAATTAAGCTATTTCCGCCAGCTACGGTAGTGGCGAAGCACTACTGAGCAATTCACGTATCACTTGATACGGACGACTTCTGTTTTTCCGCCGGACCACAGTCTTGACCTCCGATCGAGCTACGAACACGAGTAGGTAGGCTAGGGGGCG